GGGCGGGGCCCGGTCTCCCGCCCGCCTCAGCCCCTTCCTGGGGGGCGCGGAGCGCCGGCGGCCCCGCTTTCTCCCTCGGAAATGGTCGCGGCCGGGCCCCAGGAGCGGGGGAAGGCGGTTGTAAGATGGCCCCGGCCGCCTGCTGAAGGGGAGCGGCTTTCCTCCCGGGAGTGCAACTCGTTCTGAAGCGAGGCAAGCGGGGGAGGTGTCGGCCGGCCTCTCCTGCCGGCGAACGCGGGGGGACCTGATGGCAGGCAGCAGCACCCGGGAGGGCGCCGACCCTTACACCTCCTCCTCGTCAGCTGGGGCCGAGCCCTCCTTCGGGGGTCCCACCTGTCGGGGTTTGGGAAAGTGGCCTCATGATGCGGTTCCAAGAGGCCGGGACAGGGCTGGGAGCGTCTGAGTTGGCTCCAACACAGTTAAATCTAACTGAGGGCAACTGAGGGCACCCTTGCGTTGTGGTGTTCCTGTCGCACTCAAGTTGCACTTGTTTTCCGTCTGCCATTCCCTTCTTTGACAGGTAAACGAGCAAAAGCAGCAGCAATAGTTAGTTTATATATGAAAGTAGCCGTTTATACCTTTATCATTTTAATATTCATGCTAGATGTTAAGCCACATAGCTTTAAAAGATAAGCACGTGTATAGCAAATCTGCAGGCTGAATGTGAAGAGCCCATTATAGTTCTGAACCATAACTGCTGTATTTGGTTGCCATTTACAAATTAATGCATTATTCCGAAACAAGTTGTTTTACAAAGCATTAACTATGCATAATTTAGTTGTCTCACTTGGAAGCTTGCAATGTCATCACCATCTGCTTCATCATTACCTTCGCCACCGCCAAGAAGGCCCAGTAGACCCACTGTATATTCTCCTTCAGGAAAAAAAAAGCAGGAGAAAGAGTCTGGAGAGAAGAAGGGCTCAGTCAAGGATATGTATAAAAGAACAAATAGGGAGGTGGGTGTCCCTTAGAGAAGCACTGAATGTGTTCTCACGTGCTGAAGTTGCCAATTTTTTGCTGGATTTGTAAGTAAACTAATCTTAAAGCAGAGATGTGGTTTTTGTTGGCTCTTGCCTTTTTGGTAGTTAAATTTTGTCGTATTTGTTTAGATATGACAAATACAAACGCGGAGGTGATGTCTGCAAGGAATCCCAAGTGAAGCAAGACACTGATGGAAGCTCAGTGTTAGAAGCTGAAGAGGCAGTGTCGGAAATCTCTTCAGCAGCGACTGCTGAAAGCTGACTTCTTGCTTTGTTACATTGTTTTCCATATATTCACCAAAATAATATTTTTAGGTGTTTATGACTGGCTCTTTAACCTTACTCCTATATTTTTCTACATGCATGCTTTGTTTTTTTTTTCACTTACTATGAATGCAAGTTTAGACTCATATTCCTCTGATAGGAGGTCATGTAGCGCACATAGCCTGGAACTAGAATCCAGGATGTCCTGCATTCCCAGTTCCTGTGATTTTCTTTTTTTCACCATTATAACGTTACCTTCTGGACTGTGGACTGGCTACTTTGTTACAAGGCGAATTTAGGTAGATAGCCTAAGCGAGGATCTCGTGGTGCTGTCGGATGGCAAGCCACCATAACTGCAGAATTCTGAACTGAATGCCTTTGCAAGCTGAGGATACACAGCTCGCGTTGTGTTAGCAGCTCCAGTTGGCTCCGGTGCAGCATACTTGCCAAAACTTTTTTAGGATTCTGAGAAAGTAGTTTATTACAGTAACTACATAAACGTTGAATTCACGTAGGGTTTTTTTTTTCCTTTCAGTAGTTCTTTTTACTCCGGTGCATGCCCAGAAAAAAAAGGATGTAATAGCATGAGGTAGGTCTAAAATACCATCTTCAAAGTACTGAAGAATTGATCTGCTCTGTTGCATTTGTTGAGAAAATGAATGATGCTTTACTTCTGGTTTGGGCTTCAACTCGGTAAATTTTTTTGTATAAATAAGGAGAAGACAAGAGCCTGTGAAGTCATATGGCACTTCAATGTGATTGTTGTATTAAAAGATTGTAGTCTTTCACAGATTTATTTGAAGGTTCAGTGTGTTAAACTCCAAATCAGAAAAGTAGATATGGGAGATTTTATGGGGCCTTCTTAAAAGCCCACATACTAAATGGAAAAAGTTAGACTAAATAATGCTGGTTTCAGTTAACTGGGTTATATGGCTGTGCTGTCCCAGGTTTTCATTCACCTTATAGACTGTACAGACACTGTTTTATGATGTATGGTGTCCAAAAATTATTGAAGCAAGCTGATGCATACAGGGTATCAAAAAAGCAAAAATACAAACATGAGGAAAGGTATTACATCTCTTGGTGGGCACTGGGAGATATTTTTAGCCAAAAAATCCAAATTGTTTTTTCAAAATAGCTTTGATTGTTATGTTCAGCATAACCCAGAATTTTTAATTTATGCCCATTTGCCTTGCTCAAAAGGAATAAGCCATCTTTATGTAGTTGACAGCCTAACTTTTCAGGCTCACTGCCTTCTTACTTTGTCCTGTGCAGTTTGTTCAGTGTACAGGTTTGTTTCAAATTTTTTAAAAGCAGCAAATTTAACTTCAGTCATCTAATACTGTGAATGAAATATTTCCAGCTATATATGAAGTTTGAATTTGGTAAAGAGGTTTTGGTGAATTAGACCTAAGAGAAACACCTTTAAAATGTCACTGATCATGCCAAAATTACTCAATGGATTAAATGTCTAGCAAACAGAAAGATTTTTGGCTTGTTTTGGGTTGCGGGTTTTTTTCATTTTAGTATTGGGTACAAGTGAAAATCAGTCATAACAACGCAAAGTTCTGTTCTGAAAGTACTGAAAATTGTTACAAAACTACTAATGTACTTAGAAGTTGCAAAAGTAGTTATTTAGAATGGTGCAATTAACTGACAATGTACTGTGTATGACTTCATGCATGCCTTTTGAAGAGGACTGAATATTAAATTGCTATTCTTATTTAAATAGCATAATAAAATATTTAAAATGTTTACCTTAGGTACTTATACACGTTGTCAAAGCTTATAAGGCAGACATTGGTATTAGTATTGCACATGATAGTGTACAGTAGCTTTTGGGAGTGATTATTGAGTTGTCAGCCAAGCATACTTACTTGCTGTAATTTGGGGCTAATTATAATAAATTATTTCGGAAAATATTCTTTTGTTAAATTTCACACAGGGCATGAGAATAAACTGTAGAAAATACACCATAAATAAATAATCTAAGAATTATATATCTGTTATCCACAGAAAAGAAATTTCGCTGGGTAATCCATTCCCATGACCTCTGGGTTGGCGTCAAAAATCTTGGAAACAATTTGATTGAGGTAGTTCTTCCGTAATGAGTACAGAATAATATATCCTTGTAGCTTTCTAAAGTGATATAACAAACTTGTATTACATTAAGCTTGCCTTAATAAATAACTAAAAGGTTAGAATCTTTCAATTTAGATCCAATTCACCAGGTGTGAAATATAATTGTTAATGTCTTCATGGTCACCTTTGCAAAATGTGCGTGATGATCTTTATTTGTTCTGTGCCCCTCAACTATTGTAATTTGTTACAGCTTTATGGAGAAGTCCAATTGACTTTAATGCTATTGACTTAAGTATCATATTTTGTGTGAAAACCCCTCACAGTTGGTACTAATTGTCCTCCACTTTGGGAGGGTGGAAACAAGTGCATGGGAAAATCGGCACATCAATCTTAGCGATTTCCCGTGGCCGAAGATTTTTCTAAATAGACCACAACGCATGGCCAACGAGAGGAGAATTGCATCACCACTGTCCTTGCTTTGCTATTTCTTACAAAGATCGTTTGGGAATTTGACAGCTATGGTACAAATGCAGGAAGGCACAGCACATTTTTTCATAAAACAGAAAGCATCAGTCTTCAGATTATTCAGTGGCGTTTCTTTAACATCAAAAAATATGCTGTGTGTATATATGGCTTTATACTTAGCAGTTCTGCATACATTTGCTTTTCAGGGTAGCAAACAGAAAGATTGTCACCGTCTGTTTGCAACAGGTGCACGCACTCTGACTGAATTAACAGTACTTTGGTTCAGGCATCACTGACAAATAAGCCTGGCGGAAATCAACCCT